CCTAAACCCTAAATCCTAGGCTCATCCTTCAGGCTAGTCACCTGGCTTTGGCATTCCCACAGCCGTCACCACAGCTCCTGGCCGCAGTACCTCAATCCTGGGCACATGTACGGAGCTTCTAGAAAAACGGAGCGGGGGGGGGAGGGGAGAGGTTAGGGTTTAGGGGTTTAAGGGTTTAGGGGTTTAGGGGTTTAAGGGTTTAGGCTTTACGGTTTTAGGGACACAAGGGATAGATAGAGGACGCAAAGGGATTATTGGGATCTTTAGGGGGAAAGAGAAGTTCTTTAGAACATCACAGCGCAGCGCAGTTTCTGAACGACTGCGAACCTAAACCATATAAACCCTCAGACCCTAAACCCTTAAACCTAAACCCTGAACCTAAACCCTACACCCTAAGCCCCTTGCCCTAAACCCTCAACCTTGAACCCCCTAAAACCTAAACCAGGAAACCTAAACTCAAAGATCTGGCCTTGATGCCAAGTGGCGGCTGGCCAGTGAGTTCGATGGAGCTAAAGATGTTGTATCTGTAGCCTGGATCCTCGTACTCCTGGAATCGCAACTCTGAAGCCTCTAGATCAAGTATGCTAAGCAGTAAACTAGGATACTATAATACACCACGATTTAACATAATACCCACTTTAACATACCATAATATAGCATAACTTAGTATAATACCCATTATGGTATACTATAGTATATTGGGGTTATAGCACATTCTGGAAGGTGAGGTTGGTCTTGTTAAAAAAGAAGTTAGCTCCTCCAGCTTTTCGGGAACAACCGCAAACAGGGTCCATTCGCCTCAGTGAACCAGGCCAAGCCTTTCACAGGCAGCACACCATCCTAAACCTTAAACCTTAAACATCCTTAAACCTTAAACCCTAAACCCTAAACCATAAATCCTAAACCCTAAACCCTGAACCCTGAACCCTAAACCCTGAACCCTAAGAAACTCAGGGACCCGCCCAGCAAGAGGAATTCCTCCAGAGCGTTCAGGCGCAGAACTTCCTGACCAAAGTGGCAAGGTCAAAGGAATTGTAGGGTCCGTTTAGGGTTTAGGGTATAGGGTTTAGTTATATATATATA